CTATTCTGCAACAGCTAGCACAGCAGGGGCACAAATCTAGACTCAGTCCCTAACTGCTACCACAACCCACTTACTGCACTGAAAGTGGTGCTGCTCATTTATCAGTGGTGGAATGGGACTTTGTACTCTGATATCGTGATGGAGCATCATAAAAATTAATTGGAATAGTATAAAATAATGCATATCAGGTAGTTTTGGTTTAAACTTTTACTGTAGAAGATCTTGCATACTTTAAATTGAAGGATGCTTATGCTCTGTGGTGGTGAATGTATCACAGATATGATTTGTTTAACATCCTGTCCCCAACAAATAGGCAGAATTCCTCATCTGTTTGAATCAGTTGTGGCATTGCATAACCCTTGAGAAGTACGTGGATACTGTTTTCAGATAACAGTTCTTTTGGAGCAAGTTACTGAAAATTATGAAAGTCAAGGTTGAACCAAGGTTCATTCTCAGGAGTGGAGATTCTCATCACAAGAAGGGAAATGAAGGAGACATTGAATGAGTGAGGACTTTGGAGCACTGCTCAGCAATTTGGCTCTTAACTTAGGTCAAAAGGATTTATTTTTTTAACATTCAACTTAAGTATGAGATTGTCTTCAGTGCCAGTCTCTGTTACTTGGAGCACTCACTGTGTAGCTAAGAGATAGGAGCATAGGTCTAGTGAAGACTGGGGCATTAAATCTTTCTTCAGTCTGCATATGACAGAGGAGATCTTGATGTGTAAGAAGAACTTATTAGTTAACTTCATTAAATGTAGTCTTTGAGCTGTATCATCAGGTCATTCACAGCCTTGTGGGGAAGAAGAATGCTACGAAGAAGACGGAGCAACTGAATGTCAAGTGTATTGTGAATGGTTCGAGTCAGGCCAGAGATGATGGTGCAGTAGCTCTCTGTGACAGGGCTTGTGATGTGTTATAAGCCATACAAGCATTTGTATGCTTTGGCCTGAGCTCCTTCTGTACCTAATGAGAAGCATTTATAGCCTTTCAGTACTTGTTTCAGGATGGGATTGATGAATAGAATATTCCTGCTTACAGGAATGGAAACCCCATCTGTTTTTTCTGGGAAGTCCTTCAAGGAAAGACTACTTTTCTATCTTGTCTTCATCTTTGCTCAAACCCAAGAGTCTTGCTTGGTTAAACTTTCATGATGACAAACACCAAATCTCCTTTCTTTCTCTTTGTGATTCAATTCCTGTGCTAAAAGATTTTCATGGGAGACAGGAAATGGTGAATTTCGGTTTACACAACTTTCTGTTGAAAGCTGCTCTGTATATTGACACTTGTTCTTGGTTGTATGTTGGGTTTTTTTGAAGAAAAATAATTGCTTTTTTCCATCTCTGGAAAACCACATTCTATTAAAGTTATATGCCTATCAGGGAATACTTTTTACTTTATTTTTGCAGGTGAGACATTATCACCACTAGTTAGAAGAAAAGTGCCCACGGATTTTAAAGAGATAGCATCCAAGTGTGACTGATGTCTTGTAGAGGATTCTGAGAGCAGCTAAACTTTGATTAGATATTGTGTTGACTCGCTTTGATGGATTGATAAAGAGGCAGGGGGGGTTAGAAGGAAATCGTATCTCACACAGATTGTTTAATGCTGAAACGGTGCTTTGTGGCAGCTGTTGAACACTCATGAAAACTGCCCAACTTTTAACTGCAAGAATCAAAAATGCCATGAAAGGGGGAAAGTTACCTAACTTGAAATGGTGTGAGGCTTTCACATTTATAGATCCGGGGGGTTTGCTCTGCTTCTGCGTTTTGCCACTGGAGAGAATACTGCTTATTTCAAAGCCTTACTGATGGTGGTGGAGGTGAAAAGATGGATGGAGCAAAGAATGCCATGGGGTCAGTAATTATTATCTGCAGATAGCATGAGATTTATTTTTAATTCTAATGATACTACCTTTAACACCCCAGCATTCTTAGAACCATGCTAGGGCACTGGGTGAGCATTGAGTTGGAGGAGAAACTGCAGGGCATCACATTGATAAAGATGAGGTTGGAACAACATGAGAGCTGCTCTGGGAAAGGATTTCAGCTAAAGTCAATGGCTTAAAGCCAGTGCTAGATTATGGCAAGCAGCCCTAGTGTAATAAGATTCAAGCATGAGGTAGATCCCGTATTTTAAACTGCTTAACTCCAGAGGGTGCATCAGGAGTGTTTGCTCTTGCAAGGACAACTAAAGTGGGTGAATCAGCAGCAGTGAAGTGATGCCACATTAGACCAAAGAATCGTTAGTGACCTATTTAGCTTGTCCTGTTCTGAACTTCTGCAGTTTGGTGGGTTCTTCTTTCTGTGTCTTATTTTCTTGAATTGAAAAGAAAGGGTAGATAAGGAAATAATCAGAGATACTGTCCTGAGAGTGCTCCCTAATTGCACTTGACTGTATGGTCCCTGCAGCTGCAGACATTACCAAGCTTGGTATTGTCTAGTTGCTCAGAATGGTGTTATTTCACTGTCAGTGCAGTTTGCTTTGGCTTGCTGATGAGTCGATATCTATGGAAAGCCACAGTGCCCAGCCAAAGGCCTATTTTTGTCCTGAATCAATATAGCTTTGCAAGTGCAGGTCCAGGATCAACAGAGATTCATGGAAACTTTTGCTGTGTGCTTAGCAGCGAGGGCTTTGTGCTCTCCAGAAATTGTTTTGTCTTTCTAATCTGTGCCTTCTGAGTAAAGCACAAACCAGTAAAGGGGGAAGTGGCGGGGAATGAGACGTTCTGGCACCTACAGTCTAATCCCTATTGAACTTTCCCCCACTTGAGCTCAAGCACAGGTGTGCAGTCAAGACACAGCTGCTACCAGATGGCTTTGCATTTTCAGAGCTGTTATAGAAGAATCCAGAATAACACAGGGAGGAAAGACACCCGCCCGCTTTCATAGCTGCAGAGAAAAGATGATGTGTTAGGATTGCAACCTTCTTCTGGGTTAATGCACAACTGCTTTAGAATGAAGGTGAAAACTTATCCCACTGGGGAAAGTTAGACATGAAGAACTGGCTTGTCTTGTAAAGCACAGAACCATTGGGATTCACTTGGGAAGGCAACCTAGACATTCCATGGCCTTTCTGTAATCACCAGCAGACAACTGTCCAGCCTGGTTCTCACAGGCTGATAAAGCAGGTTGCTCCAACCAGTCAGCTGAATCCCAAAGCATCTTCCAGGCTGCTTTGCTGGTTTGTGGATGGAAATGGCACAGGCTGGCACAGGCGTTCCTGCATTTATCTGTCTTGGTGCTGACACTGAAATTAATTACTCCAGTTGAGGTGTAAACCTTATAGCATAAGACCTTGTTCTGTCCAGTGAAAAGCAAATGCCTAGGGAAAAACACTGCAATATTATTTTAGGTTTGCTTTCCCAAACATTCTGGCAAGAATTTGAGGATTCAAGAACTGCTCAGTTCAAGAACTGAGTTCAAGAACAGCAGTTCAAGAACTGCTTCAGACAGATTGTACTTTACAACCCTCTGAATTTCTTAGGTTAACTTGTGTCATCTTCCCTTCAACCTCTGTAAACTTTAAGCACAGACAGTGTCTTTTTGCAAAGTGTTTGCTTAACTGTAACTGCTTAACTATAGGTTGTGTGCTGTTGAAACCAAGAAGCTGTGTAAAACTGAGACCTACCAATATTTTTAACAGGAGCCTAAATTCCTGTGTTGAGCATGATGGAAGAGCTTTCTGGCAAGATGAGAACCCTGATGCTCTTTTTGCATGAGCTGTCTTGGGAGCCATCAACCAAGTGTTCTGAGATCTTCTTATTTTAACTTATAGCCATGCTGAGAGTACACTTGTAAGAGTTTAACTGTGGACAAAATGCTTTGTTAACCCTTGTGTCTTCCTTATAAGTAAACCAGGAAAAGCATCTGTTTGTCCCTTTTATACATGGGATATGGGAAAAGTGAGAGGACAGCTTCTCACCCGTTGAACCTGCTCCACTTTGCATAAAAGCTGAAGGTCTTGGGGTTGTGTAAAGGATGAGTGAGTGAGGCTCTGCTTTGGTCGCTGGGCTCTCCTGTGAGGTGAGATGGGCATTTCTGCCCCTGGCAGCAGCACCATTTGGGTTTAGTTACAAGGCTGGTTTGACTGCCTCAGGGGTAGGAGAGAGGGATTCAAAACCTTCTGTGACAGCTTCCTGTACAACTATTTGAACAGGAAAAAAGATGTGTTTGTGCAGTGGGAAGGGGAATTGCAAATGACTTTCTTTTGAAATAAAGCAATGAACCTCTGAGGACTCTTGGACATTTTGTATCAGGATGTGTTTTTCTAGTAGCAAGTAGATTTGAATGTCCTCCTCTAATAATTTTTTTAATAATTCATTGTAATAACATCCTAAAAATACACTCAGATGACACCACATGAAACTGGTCCTTCAAATTCCCAGCCTCTGTCACAGTGTATAGGATCATGGGCCATAATAACTTGTTATGAGAGAGAAAACATGGATTATGACAGATTTAAGAAAGACTTTGAGACTGACCTAGCAATGAAATGTCTGATGCAATTCAGAGTGAATAAATGCTGCATGAAATTAAGCATGTGGGGAAATGATAATGCTACCTGCACATGTAAAATGGAAGGAAACAAAAACCAGTGGATATTTGGACAGTGGCAGCAAGATGTTCAAGTGTTTATTAATTCTCCTTATACAAGGACTAAGGCATGTTTTGTGAAGCTAATAGGGACCCATTCAAATAGGAGAAAAGGAGGTTCTTTAGATGATGGGTAGCAGCCCTGTAGAACTTGCAAAGGAACATTGTGGATGGAGGTTATGGAGATTTTGGAAGAGACAGAGCAAACTGGTGAAAGAGAAACCTACTGACGTTTAGTAACTTGGAGTTGAAAATAAGTTGGGGCTGGGTAGAGAAGTGAGAAGTGTCCTATACTTACCTTAATTTCATTCCTCATTAGATAGCTAGTTAAGACAATTATTTGAGATCAGCTGGATGGGCCTTTGAGCTGACCAAATGTGCCGTTTCACATGTGTTTCTCATCTAGATTCTGCCTGTGTCATCGTGTACAGCTGTGTAGCATGGATAAAAACCCTGCTTTAGCCTAATCATGATAGTTGTTCTGTCTGGGCAGATGCTAAAGCAATATCCAACTGTCTGCTGCACCACAGGCCACCATGGGCAGGTAGGTAAGCAGAACACATCTAGAAGAAATACCTGTAACATAGTCTTCCTATGGCAAGTGTTATTTACAGCTGGCTTTTTCAGGTTCAGAGGAAAAATGCAGATCTTTGCTGGTTGTTTTTACTCTTAGAGGGATGCTTTCTACATAGCAGAATCTAAAGGCTTACAATGGAGAGGAAACAATAGCATTTTCTTAAGTCTTTGGCCTTCTTGCTCTCTGCCATTAGAGATAAACATTATCAATGTTTTCTCAGTAATTCTGTTAAACAGCGTTTCCAACAAAACTACTACTTGGCATTTCCTACAGATTTTGCCAGAGCTGACTCAATGTGGCTCGGGTTCTGTGCAGTGCAACTTATGGCATGGTGGATTTTTGTTATTTTTTTCCTAGAGAACTTAAATTAGTCAGGCAAGGGAGCATCTACTCTTTTTTTGACAGAAACGGTAATACTTAAATGATAAAGTTTCTCAATTGACTGTTTTGGCATGTCATCTGTTCAAAATTGCTTAGTCTGAAGTTGCCTGGTTTGTCTTGTTTGGATGATTCTGTCAGGAACCTTCACTAGTTGGGTCTTCAACCTGGATTGGTTTCAGTTTTGAGCTCGGTATCTACTTCTGTTATCAAAATGGAGATTATAAACTCAAAGTTGCTACCATGGAGGAAAGAGAGGTGGAGAAGAACACTGAGAAGCAGGGACAAGCCAGCAGGTGAAGAATGGGAAATCTGAGGCTGTCTTATTTAATAGATTTGTCTATGGGGAGCAGAGGACACTTTGGAATACCTCAGACTGCCATGGCTGGTGAAGGCTGTCAGGAACCAGAATGTCAGGAGGTGCTTTTTCAGTCAAATCATATTCTTTGATTAAAAAACAAACAAAAAAAGGTGTTTCCATCTCTTTCCAAGTCATCAAAATCAGAAGAGTTCTTTTGGAATGGCTGCTGCTGCTGCAGTTATACATGTGAATATGTATTCATATGTATAAGCATATTATACGTTCAATATATATTCACATACATAAGCATGGGCATGTGAGTACACAGGGGGGTAGGGAATTTTAAACGGAAACCCAAAGTTTAAAATAAATTATATCCCTGGAGATGGAGATAATCTAAAGAGCATAAGATACATGATAAGAACATAGGTATTCCAGACTCCTTTGCTGCCCTAGTATATGAAGCTGGATCTGACCCATTGAAAACCACTACACTTTTCATATTCTTTGTCAAGGCTGTGCTTAGCAGCATCAGCTTCATTCATGTGAAAAATGAAATGGGTTGGCATTTTGGAAGGTTGGTGAGAAACAGAGATAGACCAGAGAGCCCTCACTGTCAGTTATGGTGCATTTTCTTTTCAGCTGGTGCTTGGTTTTCTTTGAGTGGCTTTTCTGTGGTGGTGTTGGGGGAGGTTTAATTGTTGTTGGCCATTTGGTTTGCTTTGTTTAAATTTCCAGTTGGGAGGTCTGTGCATTTAAAGTCAAAGCTGTTCCAGTGCTTCTGGAGAACATTTGTTTGTTTTATTGGGATATTCGAGTATTCAGCTCTGTGTTAGTACTTTGACTAAAGTGTTTCTGCAAGTGCTTTGCTGCTTCTCTGGAACTGGCTAGTCTCTGGAATGGAGCTTTACAAGCTGATCATATTGATTCCCAATAGCAGGGGAAAACTACACCCAAGTTTAGAAGTAAAATTAAATAAAATTAGCTTCTGTTGCATTTTTGTTGTGGCTCTGACAGCTCTTCCAAAGCTCTGTAATGGGGGGAAAGCATCTTCAGTTGGACAATAAAAGAGGGGAAAGAAACCTGAATTCTTATACAATGCAGTTGCTTTCTCCCCCAAGCCCCAGTGGAATGCATCAAATCACTTTCATAACTCTGAAATTATTGCTCTTCACCCCTGTTACTAGAGATGAGTAGGAACATTGTTTCTTGGTGCCCAGCTCTCTGGGTTTTCATGGAAAGAGGGCAAACGCTTTCACTTTTCCAATTTATAAAGTCTTTTTGGACATAGGACCTGGCAGAAATTGTCTTTTCATATGAGTATTTGATTTGGCATGGAATGCTCTGGCTGGAGTTGCTTTGTCTTAGAAGTATTCTTCCAAAGAGATATAAACATGTGATTTATTAATCACTGGTATTTTATTTTAAGAGATAAATTTCTGCCTTTCCTCTTTCTTGTTCAGCATGTGGACAAGCTTTATGTATTGTCACTGTTGAGGCTGGAATTAATATGATTAAATATGGAATTAGCTCAGGCTTGGGTGGATTTTGAAGCTGGACTGATCCAGATGTTAACAGTAACTGGTATTGTAATAGTTCCAAAATTTGGAAGTCAATGCTGTTAATATATAGTTAAATTTTAACTAATTCCTGGAATCCCAATGATGCAGAACTGCGGGAACCAGAGAAAATTCGGTGCTGGTACTAATTCATCACAGCTTGTATCTGATGCATATAGTTAACAGATCTGACCACTGGTACACTTCATGGGTGGAACTGGTGCCTTTGGCTTTATGTTAAACATGTAAGCTTATTCTCCTACCTGATTACGCCTGCCTAATATCCAGTATGTGGGAAAGAGATCCCTCTAAGCTACTAAGGATTGGGGTTTTTGTTTGAGATTTTTCTCCTTTCTGGGTCAGTCTGAAAAAGTCAGATTTGTTCCTCTTATTCCATTATGTTTGAAAAGTATGTTATCCAGACACCATGTATCCAGCTAGTTTTAAAGTGTTTGGAAGGAGTTCTTCCGGAATGATTCACTCACTGCATGTAAAAAGAAATATGTATATGGGGAAATTTTAGGTGTCCCTGGCTTTCTACGAGAGTTACTGATTTCTGGCCCTGCTATAGGTCTTGCATATCTTTGGAATAAGATTTGGCTTTATCTTAACAATGAAAGCTTAAATTTTATGTTCTTAAATCAAAAAGTTCGGCTTCTTGTAGCACATAGGCCTGATACCTTAGTGGAAGCAAATACTTGCTTTGAGTTCTACCTCGTCCTCCTTGTGGTGGATGAACAGCCCTGGCAGAGTGTGGAGGAGCCCTTCTGCTCTTCAGCCAGACATTGGTCTTCTTGCTTGTGTGGGGACTGACAGCTTGAAAGGCATCAGAAAGGTGTTTTTTAGTGGTACTTCACAGTTAACTTTCTTTAGGAAACTGAGCCAGTGCTCCAAAGCCCTCTCACTAGTCTGAGAATCCCATGGGAAATAACCCATTCTTCTGTGGACCAGCATCTTGCTGAGTACATCTTGGTGCGTCTTACATTAGTTGTGTTTACATTCTCTTGTACTAGTGAAAAAAAAGGGGAGTAAAATGTATCTTTACAATTTGTTAAACGCTTCCAAATATACAGTGTGCAGGTAGATAGATACCTTTTGGTATCTATCTTAGTGCCCAAGACCAGCACAGATCCTGTTTGAATTCAGGTGTTCCCAACACTCACAAAGAAGGCACAAAAGAGGTAGGAGAAAAGCACGATACTTACATTTACTGAAGAGATAAAGCAACATAATCCTGATGGGAAACTTTGGATAAAGCTTGCCTTCAGTTCAGCTGGGATTTGGGGCCATGAGTTGAGCTTCCCACACTTCCCATTCTTGCCCACCATGTATTTCATCCTACATTTTATGCTTTTATGTGGATGTGTGGGACTTAGGTACCATTTTATGAACTGACAGGTAAAATGCATCCAAACCTTCCAGCTTTTAATATTCTTTCAGTTTGGTGGCGTGTTTTTTTCTTTCTAGCCCTCTTTCCAGAATACCAGTCTTGATGGCAACTTTATGGTAGTTCTTGCTACGTTAAGCTGTGAGTTTGTTACAGAACACTACCTGCACCGCATGGTGCATCCATGTGACTTCCATAAGGGCTTTACATTTACAAAATATCCCCTTTTTTTCCTTTCAGTCACTCAACCCTGCTCTGAGATAGGAGGGGTTTTATTGGTAAGAAAATGTAAACAGGAAAGCAAAATAATTCTTGTCCAAGGTGAGAACAGTAGTTCATGATCAAAACCTCACGCTTTTCCAGATCCCGTTCTACTTTATTGCACTTTGCTGTGCTTTATTTTGCTTGTGCTGCTGAGGCAGCAACATGTGCTGAGACAGCCTAGTCCTTAATTGGTTTCATTCTGTGATATTTGTGGTGACATCCTTTTATGGTCTGAAAGTATTCCCCGATTTGGGATGCACCAACTGTCCAAATAACACTGATAATGTAAGTTATTACTATTAAAAGCCACTGAGTTAAGATAATGGAAGTGACTCGTGTGTGGAATGTTTTTTCTTGCTGGCAGAAGCATGCTGCGGCCTTGGGCCTAAGAAAACTCTTGACCTGGACATCCACTGACCAGCTTTTGAGGCTTCAGTACAGGGTCTTTCATGACATTTTGGGTGTACCTCAAATTGTTGCCAAACCCTTTGGAACGGTTCAAAAGAGCGCTGATTGTGTGCAGTCCTCTGCAGCAAGAGATGCCAGAAATATAAAGGTCTCTCTTAATATTTTCCACAATGTTGCACAGCTATTAATGTAAATTACAAAAAGATTTTTTGGTTATCAAGGCAAGCTACAAGGAGGGAAAATGTGGTGTAATCCATATAAATCAGTTGACTAAGCCATGCACAATAAATCCAGTGTTGGTGAAGCTGAGTTCCTCCGGCTGGCACCACAGTTTGCTCTTTGCAATAAACGTTTACTTCCCTCATTTGACAGTTGGTGTTTGCCGTGGACCATCTTCAACCTTGCTCACACCCTTGTGATCTGTGGCTGTGCAGCCTTTTGGCTTTGGCATTATAAAAAACCAAACTAAAAAGCAGGAAGTTGCCACAGAAACAGTTAAATATTTGACCCTGTTTACTGCCAGCTTAGATAAAAATCAGATTTATTTCCCTGTGAAGAAAAATTCTTCAGCACATTCTGTGTGCCCTGACAGTCGGAGGTTTATTGCAGCCCATTGGAATAAGGGATTTCACATGTGTTGCAGTGGAGAGAACATTTTAACCATTTGCTTCTGT